CTTGGCAGCTCTTTGGAGGTGCGTGCGGAACCGCCATTGGTGCAGCCCTCGGGTGTGCCTAAGTCTGTGTCTCTGGGTGCTTTGCATGGGGCTGTGCCTCGAGTGGTGACAGCACCTCTGCCTCCCCCTGACCCTCCTCCTTCGAGGTCTGTGTTGGTGGGGAGCACCCGCGGCGGTCGATTTGTCCCACCGGAACCAGAGCTGGATCCAACAGAAAGACCAACAACCATGGCTGCAACAACAACACCAGCTGCACATCCAACAACAACACCAGGTTCACATCCAACAACAACAACAACTAATCCACAAAACAAAGCAGCAAATGACAGACCACGGAGATCTACAGCAGATTACAACCGGACCTATGAATTCACGGTAAAAATACAAAGGAAACAATCGGAAAGGACGACGACTGACGTGAAGGCAACGGCATTCAGGGTTGGCGTGGGTGGTGAAGGTGAGACGCAGGACGATGCAAGTGAGGAGGAGAGTCAAACCGCGGTGGATGACGGAGCAGGTTCTGATTCGGACAGTGAGGGAGAAGGTGAGCTTATGGTGTTTTACGTCAACCATGACGGCTACAATGGCCAACCAGACCACAACGAAGTTGGGGCCAAAGAGAAAGTTTATTTCTTTCACGTGAAAATATATACAGGGGCCATTTTTACGAAAAATGATTTATGTATACAAAAATGCATGTACGAAGTCACTACATTACACCCCCACCAGAGATGAAGCCGAGAGCAGTTGCTGAAGAACGCCAAACGGAAAAAAGATCTTGGAAAGGAAAGGAAAGAGTGAGCGAAGCGTACAAAGCGGAAAGACGGGAAAGAAAAATACAGTGTACAAAGAGAAAGACTGTACAAAGAGAAAAAATATGCGCTGCATGTGGAATACCGTTGTATGACACGTGGACACAAGGTCCGAAACAAGGTAGAAAATGCAGGAAAGGGAAAGAGGAAACATGCGTGACAGAGGTGGAAGAACGTGTCAGAGGCAGTCCAGAGAAAGAAAATAGAGAAAAGAACAAGGAAAAACGTACGCGTGACAGAGGAGGACGGATCTTGATCTTGTCAGAGGCGGCTGCGGGCTAGGAGATCTTGGCGGTTGATCGGCGGATCGGTGGATCGGCGGATGGTGGGCTGGTGAGGTCGTGGGCTTGGGCGCCTGCTCAATCTGGGCCGCGGAGGTCGAAGGCGCGATGGCCTGCTCCATGCCATCCATACAGCAACTCCGACTCAGCGCAGTGTCAGGGGTCACCAATTATGGTGTTTTACGTCAACCATGACGGCTACAATGGCCAACCAGACCACAACGAAGTTGGGGCCAAAGAGAAAGTTTATTTCTTTCACGTGAAAATATATACAGGGGCCATTTTTACGAAAAATGATTTATGTATACAAAAATGCATGTACGAAGTCACTACAACAGTACAAGCTGAGTGAGGGTGAGAGTGAGTGTGAGGGTGTGCGCGTGAGTCGAGATTGTGTGCGTCCGTCTCGTAATAACAAGTCTTCAGTATACAATCATTTGGTTTCTAGTACTGACTGTTGTCGTACTTATTCTGATTCCTGTTTTTCTGTTTTGTGCCGTGCTCGTCATGGTTATCTTTTGCAGTTACAAGTTTTGGAAGCTGTTTGTCAGCGCATTCATAAGCCGAATTTGTGTGTCCAGAAAGATAGTGTTATTACCTTAAAATTGTTCAAATAATGTTCTGTTGTGTAGTGTGGCAACGTTGTTGCCACTTGTGCCTAAATGTGTTTTGTCACCTTCTTGTTTATTATTGTTATTATTATCATTCGTTCTCACTTTTTTGTTTTTTTGTTTTTTGTTGCTGATACACACTTGTCACGCTTAGTTCTTACTTGTATACCCTTGTTTTCTGCACACTTTTGTGAGAAATCGCACCTCGATATTCTAGTGCTGTCATTGTATCGTGTCACCCTACCTTGATTGCTATATTATTTCCTTTGTTCTCATTTTGTTCTTTAGTACAACGGTGATTCCTGAAGAGTGTTGTACGAAAACTTGTTCGAATCATCTTTTTTTTTTTCCATTGCCCTTTTTCTTCTTACATGTATTTTTCCTTACCCTTTAGATTGTTTCCTGCATCGTCTCCATCGCTTACATTGTTAATAAAGTAGTCCACATGTCGCTTCAGCTCGTCCTACTTATTGCCATATTAAAATTATTATTATTATTATTTAAAAATTCGACGAGGAGACAATAATTTTAATATGGCAATAAGTAGGACGAGCTGAAGCGACATGTGGACTACTTTATTAACAATGTAAGCGATGGAGACGATGCAAGAAACAGCCTAAAGGGTAAGGAAAAATACATGTAAGAAGAAAAAGGCAATGGAAAAAAAGATGATTCGAACAAGTTTTCGTACAACACTCTTCAGGAATCACCGTTGTACTAAAGAACAAAATGAGAACAAAGGAAATAATATAGCAATCAAGGTAGGGTGACACGATACAATAACAGCACTGGAATATCGAGGTGCGATTTCTCACAAAAGTGTGCAGAAAACAAGGGTATACAAGTAAGAACTACCATTGTCCAGACAACGTCTAAGGAACACTAAGTTAAATGCAACACTACGATAATGAAATCGTGACTTCAGCGCATGGTTCCTATCTGAGTCTGGCTATATCTCGACCTGAAGTATTTAAAAATTCGACGAGGAGACAATAATTTTAATATGGCAATAAGTAGGACGAGCTGAAGCGACATGTGGACTACTTTATTAACAATGTAAGCGATGGAGACGATGCAAGAAACAGCCTAAAGGGTAAGGAAAAATACATGTAAGAAGAAAAAGGCAATGGAAAAAAAGATGATTCGAACAAGTTTTCGTACAACACTCTTCAGGAATCACCGTTGTACTAAAGAACAAAATGAGAACAAAGGAAATAATATAGCAATCAAGGTAGGGTGACACGATACAATAACAGCACTGGAATATCGAGGTGCGATTTCTCACAAAAGTGTGCAGAAAACAAGGGTATACAAGTAAGAACTACCATTGTCCAGACAACGTCTAAGGAACACTAAGTTAAATGCAACACTACGATAATGAAATCGTGACTTCAGCGCATGGTTCCTATCTGAGTCTGGCTATATCTCGACCTGAAGTATCTAAAAACAATCGGAAAGGACGACGACTGACGTGAAGGCAACGGCATTCAGGGTTGGCGTGGGTGGTGAAGATGAGACGCAGGACGATGCAAGTGAGGAGGAGAGTCAAACCGCGGTGGATGACGGAGCAGGTTCTGATTCGGACAGTGAGGGAGAAGGTGAGCTGAGTGAGGGTGAGAGTGAGTGTGAGGGTGTGCGCGTGAGTCGAGATTGTGTGCGTCCGTCTCGTAATAACAAGTCTTCAGTATACAATCATTTGGTTTCTAGTACTGACTGTTGTCGTACTTATTCTGATTCCTGTTTTTCTGTTTTGTGCCGTGCTCGTCATGGTTATCTTTTGCAGTTACAAGTTTTGGAAGCTGTTTGTCAGCGCATTCATAAGCCGAATTTGTGTGTCCAGAAAGATAGTGTTATTACCCTAAAATTGTTCAAATAATGTTCTGTTGTGTAGTGTGGCAACGTTGTTGCCACTTGTGCCTAAATGTGTTTTGTCACCTTCTTGTATAATTATTGTTATTATTATCATTCGTTCTCACTTTTGTTTTGTTTTTGTTGCTGATACACACCTGTCACGCTTAGTTCTTACTTGTATACCCTTGTTTTCTGCACACTTTTGTGAGAAATCGCACCTCGATATTCCAGTGCTGTTATTGTATCGTGTCACCCTACCTTGATTGCTATATTATTTCCTTTGTTCTCATTTTGTTCTTTAGTACAACGGTGATTCCTGAAGAGTGTTGTACGAAAACTTGTTCGAATCATCTTTTTTTCCATTGCCTTTTTCTTCTTACATGTATTTTTCCTTACCCTTTAGGCTGTTTCTTGCATCGTCTCCATCGCTTACATTGTTAATAAAGTAGTCCACATGTCGCTTCAGCTCGTCCTACTTATTGCCATATTAAAATTATTATTATTATTATTATTATTATGCCCGTGGCGGGAAGACCGCCTATTGGCCACCGCCCCGAAAACGATCACGTGTTATGTCCTGAACATGACGTCAAACGGTCCTGATGGCCTGATTATGCCCGTGGCGAGTAGACCACCTATTGGCCATGGCATGGGCAACGATCACGTGTCGTGTAAGAAAATGCTCTTCATCATGTGAGGCTGGGAGTGGGAGAGGCACAGGTACGGCGCGGTAGCCTCGGTAGGTCTGCACTAGGCCTGTCCGGATTATGTTTTGCATATTTTTCGCATTTTTGGGTTTTTCAGCTTTTTTTTCGCATTTTTGGGTTTTTTCAGCATTTTTCAACATTTTGAGCATATTTTGCATGCTCATCGGCAGCCTCGATCGAGTGCACTTGGCTCTGAAGTGAAGAAGCCAAACAAAAATGATCGATTCCTTTCGACTTTCGAAAACAACCACATCCTTTGCACGCGCTTCCTCCACGTGCACTTGGAACGACAAGGTCCCCAAGGGATTCAAATTTTACGCCATTTTGGTTGCCATGGTAACGGCAGCATAATTTTCGCATTTTGGGTGAAATTTTGAATTTTTTTTAAGATTTTTTTTATTTTTTTAGCATTTTGGGTGAAGGAGAATGAATGATATGAAGTGGACATTTTGAGTGAATTTCCAAAATATAAACGTTGATCCTTCAAAAAAAACGCATAATCCGGACAGTCTGCACTAGCTCTGCATGCAGTCTGCGCCCGCCTAGCGCCGCGCGCGCGCGCCTAGCGCCTCTGATAGTCAATGACATCATGATAACTAAAAAATTAATGATCTCGTGCATGGGTCACGGCCCACGGGTGACCATGGTGACTGGCTTCATTCATCCGTCATCGATGTGTCGACATGATCATCGCTTCGATCTTTTGAAATGAAAATGCAATCTGACATGTACCTTGTTTTCTTTTGTTTCGTTGGATGGTGTTTGTTTTGCAAACTAACGCCTACTACTTTTCTGATACAAGTCCAGCCATCAATCATTTTCTTGGAATCGATGAGAGTCCAAAGGGACTCTTTATGATTTCAGTCTTCAAAGGAGAACCCACTCAAGTTGAAAGAATAGAATTATTATAATAGCCACCAGAGATATTGCACTTTGTGTTCGAACATGTTCAGAACTCTGATGTTAGAAACACAATTCTAATTCAGTTTCACTACGGCACGGGCTGATGACCTGCGTGTAAAGCTATCATAACTACATTGTGCATGTAGAGCTCTCTGTTGCGAGGGTATTGTATTTTAGTTGGCAAGTCGATGTGGTCGTCAGGTCGAGAGCTAGCGGCGTTGTGCACAGCTGCACGTCAACTGGAAGAATAATAATCTGAGTGAATTGGAAAGTGATCCTTTTGACGAGAATCATGTCGGCAAGCTCGAGTCAGTTTATTGACCCTGAGTTCAAGAGCAGTGTATTCAAGAAGCGTCACCGTGTTGAGGAGTTGTTCGACTTTGAAGGCTGCAAAGTGGGGCGTGGAACCTATGGCCATGTGTACAAAGCGAAAAGCAAAAGCTCGTAAGAATTCAATCTTTAATTTTCTTATACAATGTATCTGCATATCTGTTACAGTACTAATAGTACATAATCAAGAGTGTGCAACTCCTATCTTGAGCTGCGATTGACTAACCCACTGCAGGATGTTGTTTAGGAGTTAGGAAGGCAGCGCCACCTGATAGCTGCCCCAGCTGCGGCACCATAAGGTCATGTATCTACAGCCGTATCCCCACCACCACCACCACCAGAAGGACTGGCTGTCACTGTGTATCTTGTCCAAGCGGGTCACTATGAACGCATTGGCTTGACAGCACTCTATTTGGGCATGACTGAACCGAAGATCCATTCATTGACAATGTAGCATGTATATCGAAGTACACGGAACAAAATTGTACGGTGTAGGCCATTGATACTATGCCAGGTATAATGAGTGACGATGATACTATGCCAGGTGTGATAAGCGGCGATGTCATTGTTTCTAGTGAACAACCTTGAACACCAATAATAAGGCTGCAGTTGGGTTGCTACATGTGTTGCTCTCAAAGCCAATGGTGTTGCCTACGTTGCATGCTCATGCTCACATGCACGTGCACACACACACACACACACACACACACACACACACACACACACACACTGTACCGTACTTGCTAACTGGTCACGTGGGTCTCCCCCGGGAGAGGAGAAAGGGACTCAAAAGGAATCTTGGAAATATGACTCCATTGGCAATTGAACCGCCCAACAGCTGACACCCCCTGAAATCCCCAAACTCTGGGTGGACTTAGAAATGATCCCACTTACGGGCTCACCAAGTAAGTGGGTGAGGACAAGGTGCAGAAACACACACACACACACACACACACACACACACACATGTCACACACATGTGCCCACACACACACACATACATTCTCACTTTCTCATTCAGTCTCTCTTTGCTGTTGCTTTTGTACCATTTCTTTACGCCATAGGAGCGATACGCGAGAGTATGCATTAAAGCAAATCGAAGGCCGTGGATTGTCTCCTTCAGCATGCAGAGAAATTGCTGTAAGTTGCACCTACATCATTAAATTTTACGTAACACAACATTCCTTTTTCTTGGTAGTATCGACTAGTAACTATTGACAACTCGGACCCACTGTTAATCGAAGGATATACTTTGATGTGTACTGTATAACACCTTTATTTCGGTGTAATTTAAATTTCGGCAACTTCGGTAGAGGTCCCGGATCACCTAATTTAACATTAGGGGTCGTCCGTAATTATCGAAAAATTAAAAAATCCGTCCTCGTGCAAAATTGTCTCTGACCCAACCACCCACCCACCCCCATTTTTTCCCATTAATTTTTTGATTTTTACCGATGCCCAGCTCGAAAATAAGAACTCTTGACCTCATGTTCACTGATTGCACCTATGTCAAGTACATGTACTAGTAGCTAGGTCCGTGAGTAGTACGTCTACCGACGCGACGGCCATGCACGTCGTACAACTACTAGTACTGTAAAAGCCATTATTCTAATAAGGCGCATATATAACGATTTCCCAAAATTGACTAGTTGACGTGTACCAAAGGTAACGATTTTCACTCATTCTCAACGCTCAATAGGACAGTATATGTATCGATTTCTGTATAACGATTTCTATTTTAACGACAGATTTCTCCTCGTTAACTCGTTAGAGTTAGCACTTCGTTAGGGGCCGTCCGAGGTTACCAATAATATTTTCAAAACGAAATGTTTTCGTTTGTGGGTGGGTGGGTTTGATGGAGTTTCGTTTTGAAAATAATTATTGAATGCTGATGGAGAATGCCCAGTCACTTCTGGGTGTCGAAAATTGACATCAATATTTTATTGGAATTCGTTTTACCTGCAGAAAAGGTGGGTGGGTGGGTGGGGGCTGAAAAATACTAAAACTTTTCGTTTTGTAAAAACAATCGGTAACCCCGGACGGCCCCTTATATATGTATATAATGGCTTTACAGTACATGAAGAGTCATGTATATCATACTGGTGTTTGCGATCCTACCCAACATCTACAGTACACTACACAGTCGGTGCAACAAGTGTATGAAAGTCACTGAAGTAAAAAAGAGTAAGAAAAATCAAAAAATTAAATTCCGCCAGCGCTCTTGACCACCCACCCCCTTTTTGCCTGCGAACGAATTTTTTTAATTTTTCGAAAAATACGGACGACCCCTTAGGGCATGTTTGATTGGTAGGATCGGGATCCCGATCCACCGGATCCACTGGATTCGCACCCTTTCGATTGGTCGAATCCGGATCCGGATCCTTCGGATTTGGATCCGGTCAACCCACCTCGGGGAGCAGGGTTGACCGGATCCAACAGATCCAAATGTGACCTTTGTGCGTATATGGCGGGTAATAATCGTTTTTGTACACATTGTGGTACGCACACGTGGATCGAGATAGAGCTTGTTGACTTTTTGTACAACTGGCGCGGTGAGTACGACTTTTTATTACGTCGTCAACATGGCAACAGTCAAGGCCCAAAAAAAGTGTCCAGTTGACTCTGAAGGATCCGACGGATCTGAGATCTGGATCCCGATCCCGATCCTTACCAATCGAACATGCCCTTACACCTAAATTTTCCGAAATGCCAAAAAATGTAAAAATCATGAAAATCTTTGCCACATCCAAAATCATGAAAATCACTGTCATTAAAAAAATTAAGTTGTATACTGGTAGTACTGGTACTATGTACAATGTCTAAAGAGTCATTGAATACATGTACTACGAGCGTAGTACATGTATTGTACTTCTCTAGAACTCACTGTACTAATTGTAGCATTTGTGTACATGATTGTGCAACATTGTTTTTGAGTTTGCCCATACAAGAGGCTTTTACAGTTTAAAAAAGTGTAGCATTATTGCATGAGCCATGTAATTTACATGCACTAATAAGTACTAGTACTACATGTAGTATCAAATTGACAGAAGTATACCACCGACAGGAACAGCCAGAGAATGTGCTAGTAGTAGTAGAACGAAACGAAAGCGATTACAATGCA